GCGCCCCCCGCCGCAACACCGAACGAACAGATTGCCCCGATCCCAGTGAGACCCAGTTTCCACAGATTCAGCTTCTCACCATCATTCCTTTGAATCAGATCTTCAGCCCAATCATCTTTCTTGCTCGGCAAGTCACTGTCTTCCCCCTCCGTCTCGATCTTCATCGTATCATCGGAATCCAAGGGTTTGATATCGATCTGAGGCAGTGGACTAGAGACCCTTGCCGGGTCAATTTTCATGTCGACGAATTCGTTTTCCTTCATTCTCTTGAAGGATACTCGCGGAGACGGAACCGGATCGGCGAGTAGACCCGGACCCGGATCCGGTTCCAGAAACGCCGGATCAGGGCGCTGGAGAATCCTCACGGGGAGGACGACAGAGACATCGTCGGTAAGTTTCTTCTGATTCTTGTCGAGATCAGTGTCGTCGGTGCTGGAGAGGGGTTCCCATGAAATTGGTACTTGGAGAAGATGCAGTTTGGATCTGGGATTGGGTTCGGTCTGTCTGGGAGATGGGCAGATGAAGTAATCCGTGTGGAGGAGGTTTTTAGGGTTTGGATTAGGGTTCCTCGTGGTGTTTCTGATCATCATTCCACCTTCATCGTCATCATCATGATCAATACCGTTGAAGTTGCTCCTCGGGAGCAACTCCCACTCCCCGAGATCCATCTCTTCCATGACGTCCTTCTTCCTGGAGACTTTCTGATATATCCTGTCGAATTCCTGGAGTTTATTTATTAGGGTTTGGGGTTTTTTTAAATAGAGACGCACACTTTCGTAATATTTTAATATTTTTAACTCACATCTCCATCCTTTTTTTGTAAGTTTCGTTAGCAATAAAAAAGAATATTCAAATCAAGTTGATATTTATTTGCTGAATACATTGAATTGTTCAATGTGTAATTGTAACATATTCGTAGGCTTTGTCAAAGGAAATGGACCCAGAGCTTATCTACACAAACGGAACCGACAGAAGGAGAAGTGGTCCTTTTTGGGCCCAACCGCCAACCATGTTGGTTTTTTTTTTTTTGACAATCAAATGCCCTTTGATGTTCTTTAAATGCCATTAATTAGTAATTAGTAGCATAATTAAGTGACGCAGTCATGTTTTTGAGCTTTGGTGATCTCTTACCAAGTTGGAAGCTTTGTTCATCCATTTTATAATGTATAGTTGTAACAAACGGACCGACCAAAGATCAAACAGAAAAGTTGTCACATCATCATCATCAGGATCATGAGAACAAGAACCAGATTCATCTACGCATGCACCACCACCATCACCACTCGCACGTGACGACACCAAAAATGCAGAATCTTGGTTGACATTGAACAGCAAATCACACGTTTTGCACGTGCATGGCGTATACGCACTAACATACATACGCATACCCAGAATGAGAGAGGTCTTTAATAGTCCCAAGAGCACATACAAAAAAAAAAAAATCAACAAAGCTCGTACCTCTTCAACGTATACAAAAAACAAAAAGTTGCGTGGCAAAACCAAAAACACTAGAAAGAGGAAAAAAAAAAACAATATTCACAGACAGGAGCAAACGGTTCTTGCATTTACAAGCTTCCTCAATGCCAATTGACTCATACAGACAGGCATACAGAGAGAGAGAGAGAGAGAGAGAGAGATACTGAAAGTAACCCACCTGGCATTTTTTTATCTCCTTTTTTTTCTACATTGAAGCAAGTGATTAAGAGAGAATTCTTCAACCTTGAGAAGAGGAAGATTTTCCAAGAGAAACGGAAGCAAGAGAAGAAGCCCAAACCTGAGCCCTCTCATGGAAGTTTCTGGTTTTGGTGAGTCTAAGCCTCATCCATATCCTCCTCACATCGATCATGTGAAGGGCACGTCCAAACAGCTGACAAGTGTTGTCTCCCATCATTCCCAAGTTAAGCCGAGGGACGTGAGATGCCCATAACGCTTTCATGCGGAGCAGCACTCTGGGGGTGACCATGATTGCCAGCTTTAACAAGAGGAACAGCATTGCTAATACCAAGTACGGCTCTCTTGCCACAATCTCTCTCCTAGATGATCCACTACTACTTAACCATGCGATCATCCCACTGTCTGAATCTAAACTTGTTTGCTCCCCTTCTGCCACATATTGGATAGGGTGGAGTCCTGAAAAGGCCAACCAGAATAAAGGAAACAAAAAAAAAAAGAACAGTCACTTTTCCTGAGCTGCTGAAAAATTATCTGAAGAGAATCAATCAGATTCTTCAAGAGGTTCAACCGGTTGCGCCAAAGAATCCAATCAGGAGGGGGAAAAATCAAGCAAAAGTGACATTGGTGTTGCATGGATAACACTCACCTGTTGTTTTCTTGTAGAACTGAACCAATGAAGCAAGATCCTTTTTACCACGGTGTCGCACCTTCGATGTTTGCTTAACCATCAAGATTGAAGGCAAGCTATGGACACCATACCTAGAAAAGACACTGCAACAAAGCCAGATAATGAAGTATGTTAGGAAAAAAGCAGAACACATGGTGAGATCAAATACCATTTCAAGCAGCAGCCGCTGGCAAGAAAATGCATAGAAAATCTGATAGGTAAGAATAACATATAAGCAGCAGCAGCCACTGGTTATCTTTATCGATCATGCACATCGGACCAAAGAACCCGTTAATGAATTCAAGTATGAAAGCAGGCATATTGTCGACGCCTTTTTTCCACTACATTTGAACCCGAATTCCTTCCAGACACTGCTTATCAATAGACTAGCTCAAAATGCAGTAACATTCACGCAATGAACAGAACTATAGAAAATAGCTTCTTACGATGGTAGCGCTAGAGAATGCTCCAGAACCATATGCTGTATTTGGGGAAACATTGACGCCAGAGCATCAAATTTAGGTCGTATAGCACGTGAAAACGGGCACCAGGAAGCATAAAAGAGCACAGCTGTGTAACCATTTCCGTGTTTCGCGTCCATTATTCTGTCCAGGGTGTCTCCATCCACCTGAATCAACATTAATGCCGACGTGGATACTGCCTGTGTTAATAATGAAGCCCCCAGGTGTATATCTAAAACATATTTCTACTTCAGTAGTGACATACTATTGCAGTCTTGATATTTAGCAAGGAAGATTTAATATTACTTGCCACAAAGAAAAGGTACTTCAAAATTACAAGAAATTTAAATTCTGAGCCGTATATTTCTCTCATTCCATTGCAATCTAACCATTTCTTCTATAATATCGAGTAGTTGACTAAAGAGAAGCATATTTCCCCAGGTATCAACTATTCGTTTTGTAACTGTCTTCTCAACTAATACCACTCCCCTCCCTCACTGTTAACTAATAACCAGAAGATTCTAATAGCCATGGGGGCATAACATAAATCTCAACCGAAGGCAGTTAAAGACGGGAAAATGCACTCGAAGCTCAGCTATAAACATGTCCTTGGGTATGAGTTCACAGCGTGCATGTGTGCGTATGTAATTCATCTCAACAATATGCCCAGAAAGCGCTGAAGAGTCCAATCACATCAATTCACAATATGAAGACCAATTTCAAGAATTCAGACAGCAGTATAACGCTTCTTCCAGTTAAAAGCATATCAAAGTCCATAACCACAATCCTATCTGCGTCCAATGCTAATCGACAACCATAATGCCGAGTTCATTTCGCGCCACATCAGTTCCAGTGTCTAATAATAACTAATCAAGACAAACAACTGGGTTATATCCAATTTTAACAAAACCAAAGCCCAAATCCAAACTGAATACGCTAAACAGGAGCTGAATAACAAACCCTAGAACTGTCAATAGCCGAAATGAACAGAAATCAAGATACGTACCTCAAGAGGAGGATTTGGATACAGAGAACGAGGGCATTTCGCCTCGAGACCGCACCGAAACACCACGAATTCAGGTTGGCAAACGCCAAGTTCCGGCGAGGATGAAGCAAATCGGAGGGACGATACGGCGGCGGCGCAGAGGAGTAGAACCGAGACCCTGAAATCCATGGCGCTGGGGCTAGAGCAAGAGCGAGAAAGACCCGGAACCTAAATCTAGAAGCAAACAAGGAAAACCCCAAAATCAAAATCGGTGGACAACAACAGGGAAGAGGATCTATGAACGAAATTCCAGGGGAAAACGAAAAAAAATCGGAATCAAAACCAAGAGCGAAACAAGAAAGGATCAGAGAAAGACAACCCTACGTCTAACAAGGAAGAGGATAAGAGGAAGAACGACAACAGAAACCTAGAGCAAACTACCCAGAAATGATCGTAGAAGCAGGGCAAGATTGGGGAAATACCCAGATCCGAAAAATCAAAACTTTCTTTTGGGTATTTTTTTTTTGTAGAAACAACAAATGAGCCGAAAACGCCAAAACCAAGAATCAAATTACTGTTGTTGTGCGTCTCTGACTCTTTCTCCAACACTTTTCGACCCGCGATTGGTGGGCGAGTGATTTTATTCTGTGGTTTTTAAACCCTCTATTTAATTATGTTACAGTTCATATATAAAATATTGGACAAAAAACTTAGGCCCATTAAAACTGATATAATACGACCCAAACGTTAAATGGGCCTTATATTCCGGGTTTCATCCATCGCTTTCTGACAGGTGACAGGTTGGGAATCGACGACAATGGAGATTACAAAGAAGAAGGAAGAAGAGATGAGGAACGCCAAGGAATCGAGAAACTCGAACACAATTGGGTTGACTAGTTGCATCGCCGCTACTCGCAAACAGAGCGGTTGCGATTTTTAACGGATAGTGACGGTTGAGAAACTGATTGGTTAAACCCAGAGAAATATAACCGTAACAAAACTAGAAAAATCAAAACGCCACTTATTATCTATGTTTCGGTAGCGATTACGACATTTTAAGTTAAAAGACCAAAATACTCTTATTAAATTTTTTAAAAAAAATTAATTCTCCTATCTTCTTCTCTCACGCGTTGAACTTAGATATGTTGTATTTGAACATCTGTCGATTAGGACTTTCTTCTCCGCCTCAGATCGTCGAAGCTCATCGATACTCGTCGGTATTCGCTGGAGCTCGTCTCTAGGTGTCTCTATTTTGTTTTATATCTTTTTCTCTTTCGATTTACCGGGAGGAAAATGGATGACAACTCCGCTGCTCACCTTGTTCATCTCGTTTTCAACCTCAAAAAACTCGACATATGATTAATCTCTCTCTCTCTCGGTTTGGAGTCTGTTTGTTGTCAATAATCATGATTTATGGGTTGGGATTTGCTGCGATGGCAAATATGGCAAGTTTTCACCTTTGGCTTGGCTGTTCATATGTAAACATGAGTTCTTCCCAACTAGGTTGAAACACATTGATTTGGTCTCAAAATTTTAAAAAAATGATTATTTAGAAAACAAATATCAAATGATACATTACTTTTAAAATTATCAAATGTTTTTTCTTTTGGTTTAACGCATATTAATCTTTATTATTTACTTTTCAATGGAAGGTTCGTTTTTTTATTAAATAAAAATATTTTTGCCTATAATAATAATAATGATGTTGTTGTGAAACACTTAACAAAAATAGCAAACATAATATAAAAAGATATTGTATGATATAATTAATTTGAAACCAATAGTAAAAGAATGTCTATATTCAAAGGTTTAAAAATATATATATTTGAAAGTTTTTATATTTTCAAAAAAATATAAATTGATATATATTTATATATATTAGTGGCAGACCCAAGTTGCACGTGTCCCCAAGGCGGTTTAAAAAATGTCACTGTATAATTTATTTTTTCATGCCATTTCTTTTTTTATTGGGTATATATATACACATTATTATTTATCCATGCTATATATATATATATATGACAATATGGTTAAAAAGAATTAATTGGAATCAAAATAAATCTTCGTCATTTGATTCAATGAGACATATATATATATGTAGACACATACGTTTATATACATCGAAGAACAAAATCCAACATATTGGTACGAAACAAAACTAATTCACAATGAGGAGAAAAATATAAACAAAAATATAATCAAATAGAATTAGTAGATTTGAAATAATAAATTAAAAATCTATAGAAATTTATTAACATTTAAGTAAATTAGAAAGTTAAAATAAGATCATAATTAATGATTAAAAATAAGAAAAATCTAAAAAAAACACTAAAATTTTCAATTTTGACTATTTTTTGTTAAATAAAATTAAACTTTTTAATTTTGACAAAACAAACACTCTACTTTTCTACGATTGTCAAAATAAACAAAATGAATGACGTAGCATAAACAGATATAAACACATCAGATTATTTTATTTAGTTTTTTTTAAATCGAAAAAAGTTTATATATTTTTTTAGATTATTAAAAAAGTTCCGGATTTTTTTATAGTTATAAAAATTTAATATTTTTTAGATTCATTTAAAAAGTTTATTGTTTATTCAATAAAAAATAAATTTCGTTTTTTGGGTCACGATTGAAAAGTTACCATGTTTTTGTTGGGATTTTACCTTACGAAACAACAATCCTTTTAATTTCTAACGAATAAAGATAAAATAAAACATCTTTTTTTTTTGTTTTAATCAACGAGGAAGGCTCCCAGGAGATTCCTCCGCCCTTAAAAACGAGCTTACCTTATCTCTCTTCTCAGCGTCATTCACCTCTCACCTCTTCTTCTTCTTCTTCGTTATCTTCTTTACCATATTTTTTTTTCTTCCAAATGAATCCGTTGATTGATTCCGTTGCATATTTTGCTACTCTGTGATTGCGTTAGCTAAGAAGGAACTCCCTCTTCCACATGGGGAAGCCTTTCTCCTCTCACTCAGTTGCTCTTGATGAACTTTCGGTCTTTGATCGACAAGACAACCTAAGCCAGATCAGATTAGGGTTTGTCAGATCGAGAGACGAAACAACATGTGTGAGGGATGAAAGGTTTCCGAATGAGGCGGAGGGACTTTTTTCTTGGAGATTGCAGCCACAAGGAAGCAATATATGTGTAAATATCGTTTCTTTTTGTTGATGGATTAATAATGTAAAGTAAGCCTTTTTGTTGTATAATCTTGATTCCGCTTTCTGGGTTTGGCCACAAGTTTTGAATCTTTGAATGCACGTGTTCTTGGGTCATCGAGTAACATCAATTGTTCAGGATCTTAGATCTTATTCAAGAAGCTTTGGTTTTACCATCCGAGGAGAGATTTTCCCAGTCCTATATTTTCTCGGGAAAAAAAAACAGAATCTGGAAAACTGGTATTGTTGAGTCGAGATCTGAGATGGGCGAATGCTTTTTCATTGCAGGGGATTTGCTGGTCAACCCATCATGTGATCAAATCCGGACGCTTCACCGGCCTTTCTCGGCAAATCTTGGACAGAAGGCTCCTTCAAGAACCGATATTTCAGCTGATAAGCAAGAACTCGTGCTTCGGTCGGCGTCAGCGATAGAGAGTTCATTTGTTTTGGTTTTTATCCGAGTCTGGGCAAATGAAATTCAGGACCACGTTCGAATACGGTCTGTATGTGTAGCGAATCATTTTGATCTTTGATAGTGTTGATATGTGATGGAAGTCTCTGCATACATACATATCATATCCACATGTCCATGACGTTTCCTTCTCCATACAGAAATTTCCAAGCTTTCTTTCACGTTCTTGGACCTCCTCGTCATAAACAACGACAAAGACTTGTTTCTTGTTCTTGTTCTGTTTCTTACAAGTTCAGGTCCCCATACATACATATATACACGTATATGTGTATTCGATTTCGCAATCAGAAAACAGTTTCCGATATGTTTTTATTCAAATTCAAGAACATGACAAACCTCAAGTGAATCATAATAACACCATGAATAACCGCGATTCATGGATCTTAATTGAATTAACATATCTGATTTGGATCTACTGTTTCCATCTGTCATTATTTGCTGTCGATTTTTTTTAAAAAAAAAGATTATTGAAGTTAGACCTCATGAATAAACGAGTGGAGATTATATATCTCGTGTAATTGTTATTATTAACCTAGGAGAGCAATTATTGTTTAAATTAACCGGTATTTATTTAGAATCGGTTTAGTGTTTTGGTTAATGACCAAAACCAAGCACCGAAAAAAAAAAACTAACAACAAATTCTGAGATACTAAGATCTCTATGGTTTTGAGTTCATACAAACAAGACTTTCTTTGTCAACAAAGCAACCTCGTTTTAATTAATTAATTAATTAATCAAAATTAAAATTAAGAGAACATCGATAATCCAACGTGCAACTCCCTCCTGCTTCGATTTTTCATTCACTCACCCTCTCTCGCCCGCTCGCTTCCGTCGATCTGATTCGACGAATTTGTTTCACTTTTACATGGGCCTTGTTTGTTTCCCCGGAAACTCGTCCGAGAAAATGCGAGAAAGCTCGAATCTGTGAGATACAACCTACCTGAAACCTCGCGCTGGATCCCGAGCATGCTTCGTTTCTCGTGAATTTCGCGCATGTTGCGGCGGTTCTTCTCCGTTTGACCCTTGATCTCGTCCTCGGTCCTTCGCCTCAGGTAATTGCTAAACATCAGTTCTCGATTTCCTCCCAAATATTGGTTGTCCCGTTTTCCGTTTGGAAAATCATAGCCGCTTGGTTTGATATTTTTAGATTCGTTCTATTGCTTTAGGGTTATAATTTGAGAGAGGAGTTGGATTTCGTGGGCTGATAGAAGATGCTGTTCAAATCTAGAATAAAATGGATTGCGCTCCTTGTGCTGATCTTGTCAGTTGGATCTCTGGTTATTCATCTTTCCATAACCAAGTCTTCAGGTGTACAGTTAGTGAGAGGATTTGAGCAGGAAATAGGGATACAGGTAAAATAATTGATGGATTCCTGGACGTCTCTGTGAATCAGAGTATCTGTATTGATGTATTGTTGATGTAAGAACCTCTCAATTTGCAGGGTTTTAGGAATAAGCACCTATGGCGGTCTGTGAAATCGTTAGAAACCTTGCAGCCATACGCCAACTCGAGAAATAGCTATGCTGGTATTGTATTTAAGCTCCTTCGCATGCACTAAGTGCATGCAAGTGTGTTCATAGATAATCCAGTTCAAATTTTTCGCAGTTTTTTTCATATGAAGCAGTCGCCTCAGTTTTGTCATCTTGGTCACCTACTTGTATATGAGATCATAGGTTTCAGGGTCATCTTTTACTTTGATTACTGCGAATGCAATTCGTTTTTCCACTAAGTGTTGCATAACCCTTAATCCTAAACCATCTTGTCATCTCTAGTCTGCAGCTGTTTTTTTATATGAAGCTGAATCTCAGACAAAAAATGACTGTACCTGGTCTTGTTCTAGATGATGTTTTTCTTGTTTGTGTTTAGTAGTTCGAATCTGAAATTTCTCGGTTCCTAAGAACCTTTGTGCTATGACGCTCTCATGATTTCTCAAATTTACACGACTCTTTCTCGACCTTGTCTCTTTGTAGCCCCAAGTTCAGTGAACAATGGTTTCATCTACGCAAAGATTTTTGGTGGATTTGACAAGATTAGATCTTCTGTATGTATCTTCTGACTTGAAAACAATAAGATCTCTATCGATTTTCTAGCTTGTGTGTTATCATTTCTGTAAATTTTCTAGATACATGATATTGTCTTGATAACGTTTCTGTAAATTTTCTAGATATGTGATCTTGTCACCATATCCAGGCTTCTAAATGCTACCCTTGTCATTCCGGAGCTCCAAGAAAGTCTTCGCTCAAAAGGCATCAGGTATGCCTTTCTCTTTGTTCTTTTATTTAGCTTCTTTCTCAACCACTGGTCTTAGATCTTTCCATTCTCTAATTTGTTTTTAATGGGTCACACAGCTACAAGTTCAAGAGCTTCTCCTACCTTTATGATGAAGACCAGTTTATAGCCTTTCTAAAAAATGACATTATGGTTGTGAAGTCTCTGCCTGAGAGCTTGAAGGGTGCAAGAAAAAGGAATGAGTTCCCTATTTTTAAGCCCAAAACCTCTGCCTCACCAAATTTCTATCTCAAGGATGTATTGCCAAAGTTAAAGAAAGACAAGGTTATTGGATTGATCGTCTCTAATGGGGGTTGCTTGCAGGTACTTACCAAACTTTCTTTTTGTTACTTTAGCTGTGATATCTGGCTTCCCTCACTTCTTTTTTCCAGTTAACCTAAGGTTCTATATCTGGAATACTTGTATCTTCTGTCTGTTTATTTGGAGAACATTGATTGGGTGTCTTTTCTGCTGCAAAATACCCTACTGAATTGTATCTAGTTGTGGCCATGTTATGTTTCAATTGAGAAGAAATGATAACATCAGTTGATCATTATGCTTTCTCTTCAAGCAAATCGTCTTTGTTTTCAGTCAACTTTGCCAGCGTCGATGTCCGAACTCCAAAGACTCCGTTGTAGGGTTGCCTTCCACGCCCTTCAGTTCCGTTCAGAAATCCAGTTGCTGGTCAAGAAGATGGTCGAGAGGTACTTGCAGTAGTTTGGACTACAGAATTTTAACTGCAGAAAAGTGAGATAAAACTTCGGAAATATTTTGTTTTTGGGATCGGTCTTAAAAGAGAAAAGGACATTGAGAATGCAAACATTTTAAGCTTTTTTGTTCCAAAACAAAATCAAATGGACAACTAGCTGGCTGAGAAATGTAATTAACAAATGCAAGGGGTGGCCGTCTATAAACTTTAGCTTGGGATATATCCATGACACATATACTTCAAGTTGAGATATATCCTTTTCTTTTTAGGTTACGAGGTTGGGGGCAACCTTTTCTAGCTTATCACCCTGGCTTAGTGAGGGACACATTGGCTTATCAGGGTTGTGCTGAGCTTTTCCAGGTAGCATTTTTAGCCTTTTCTCCAGCTGTTCTCTTTGCTAGAACAGGGTGTTCACTCCGACATTAATTTGTGCTCTCTTTCTTCTCCCCTCTTGGTGTTTTATTCATGTGGTAATCTACTTTTGGAACAGCCGTATGTTTTTCTGACTCTAGTCTTCTTACTTCTCAAAGGATATTCACACTGAACTCATTCAGTATCGGCGGGCTCAGTTGATCAAGCAGAGAATTATTTCTGATGACCTTAGTGTAGACTCACACTTGCGCAGGGACCAGGGAAAATGTCCTCTAATGCCTGAAGAGGTAACATCAGCAGTTACTCTCATTTTGTGCTAAACAAAATGCTTATAGGAACAGTTCCATGCCCCTCTTAATTGCCCTTTATTACTTCCTGAGAAGTCTTTCTGATAAGTTTCAATGGGCTCTGCAAAACATGATGCATTGTATGCAGTTGCTTTTGCATTCTGTCTGAGGCCCGTAATTGTCACTGGATGCATATGCGAGTCAAAAGTTCCTAAGCTTGTTTGTTGTTCCCATGTAGATGTAGGTGATGCTTTTGCAGTTAAAGTCTGCTAGACCATTTTCCAGCCCCTAGTATGCTTTGTGATGACAATATTATGCCTCAGACTTTGAATTGATTTTACTGTTGCAGCGAAATAGTATTAGCTTTACTTTTTTCATATGATGTTAGAGTTGGTCCCGATATTTTGCAGGTTGGAATTCTTCTGAGAGCACTGGGTTATTCCCCAAAAACAATTATTTACGTTGCTGGATCTGAGACTTTTGGTGGCCAACGAGTTTTGACCCCTTTACGTGCCATGTTCCCGAATTTAGTGGATCGAACTTCCTTGTGCAGCGAGGACGAGTTATCCCAGTTGGTGGGTCCTGAAACGCATCTTCCGCAGAATACCTTTGAAATGTCTCCACGGAAAACGGATGAGCAACTCAAGGAGGAGTGGAACAAGGCAGGTCCCCGACCTCGGCCTCTCCCTCCCCCTCCAGATAGACCTATCTACCTGCATGAAAAAGAAGGATGGTATGGTTGGGTTACTGAGAATGACACAGAACCAAGCCCGTCGCCCATGGATCTTAGGAATCAAGCACACAGGTTGCTGTGGGATGCACTTGATTATTTTGTCTCAGTAGAGGCTGATGCATTCTTCCCTGGTTATAACAACGATGGTAGTGGGTGGCCGGATTTTTCAAGCTTGGTAATGGGGCACAGACTCTACGAGAGGCCCTCTTCACGGACGTATCGACCAGACAGGTGAGCAGGCAGTGATTACTAGTTGTAGTTTCCTGCCCATATCATTTTTCATGCATAAAGGATTTTCTAGTTCGATTGCCATGTCACGTTAACCTATGTTCCTGTCTGGCTTTACACTGTTACTGCATGCGTGTTCTTATTCAGTATGTGCAATGTAGCCCCCTTGTATATCTTTCAGTTAATTAGTACTACTTCTGGAACATAGATCTTGTCTTTTCATGAGGTTTGCCTGGAACTTTGCTTTTGCAAATCGTCTTAGTCACCCTTTCCTGATTTTTCTCAAACAGGAAAGTTATTCAAGAACTCCTCAACATCACACGGGAGAACATGTACCACCCCAGACGAAACTGGACGCTTCTTGTGAAGAAACATCTAAACTCAAGTTTAGCTGAAGGTGGGTTTATCAGGCAGTCGATGTTGTCAAAAACCAGGTTGTTTCTTTCGCACCCACTTCCCGAGTGCTCATGCAGAACATCGCCTGTCGAAGCTTCCAGGCTAGTACGGGATGATGATGATGATGGCAGATATCTCTATGGAGGGGAAGATGAATGCCCAAAATGGATAAAATCTGCTGGAGGGGAAAAGAGCAAGTCTGATAATGACGATGAAACCCCCGATTACGAAAATGATCTCCTGTCTGAGCAGTCGGAAACCGACGAAGACTACCTGAAAAGTAAGGTGGAATTAGCCTTCGACCAGGACGACGAATGGGATCCTAACGACTGAACCCTCAAATTCCCCGCTGTACTTTTTTGGAGACGGAGTTCGACTTCTGTAAGATTCTGTCGAAGAAGCAAAGGAGAAGGTGTTCTTTCGTAGTTGCCGGCTTTTAACCCTTTGTGACAGAATGAACTTCAAATGAAAGCGAGTTTAAAGATATCAACGACGGGGACAAACTGATGCAGCCTCTCCCTTGAAACAGATGCTTTGTAAATCTGCATCGAATTCAGATTTTTTTTTTGTCTTGGGGTTGTTTTTTTATATATACATATATTAAATTGTTTTGAGGGAAACAACACTTTGTTTTTCAGAAAAGAAGAAGAATACATCACGTTTCATTACATATACATGTATATATATATATATTATGGAGTATACAGTAGCATATTCAGGAACGAGGCAGAGAAACCTCAGGCACCATTTCTGTGAGTCCATGGCTTGAGAACTGAGACAAGTGTGATGGCAACGACGATAAGTAGGATGATGATGGCAATGCACATCCATTTCCTCGAGCTTCTCTGCTTCTGTTTTGCTTTCGTTAATGCATTGTTACCATACTGGACATGATCCACTGCACTTGACACCTGTAATGGGAAAAAAAAACTCGAACCAGAGGTTTTTTTTTTCATGACTGAGGTAAATGTAAAAAGATTATTACCATATTCTCAATGTTGTCGAGCATCTCTCCTTGTGCATCCACCAACACAGCCATGTCCAGAAACACCTGTTCGTAAAAAACATCGATCGTGTTATTGAATGAATAATAATCTTCGTCGAATCCGAAAGTTACCTGCTGTAAATCAAGAAGCTTCCTCTCTAACTCTCTGACAGCGTCGTGCCGTTCTTGAATCTCAGCCAATGTATCCATTATCTGCATTCACCAGTCACAGCACAACAGTTTGATCAAGACATTTGTCTTATCATATGAAAAGATAACGGTTATATAGCGGGGGGAAAGGAATTCGACCGACCTGCCCTCGACCTTGTTCTCGTACTGCCCTCTGGAAGATCTGCTCGCTGTCTCCCGTCTCAATCAATCTATCAATTGTCTGAACACCAAGGATACATGACATACCCATTTACATTTCCTGAGTAAAATCTAAATACAAACTCTGTTTTGATAATCGCTCTCACCTCTTCATCAGCTCGTTGGCCCGTCACTAAGCATTCAAGAATCAAAAAAAAAAAAGAACGGAGTTTGTCAGCAAACCAAACGATCTGTATAACAGTTCACAGAACAGAAGATCATTATGGAACAGCTGAACATAATGGAGATCCTTTCCAAACCTGTAAACACTCGGCGTTCTACAACTTCCCGGTATTCTTGCTGGATGTTCTGTCTTAGCATCTGCAGAGAAAGGAACAAGAAAACAATTGAAACTACACATGGATCGATCTAGTCAGATCTCAGACAGATTTTTTTTTTTTTCTGAAACCACCTGAAATTCAGCTATCTTGTCCTTGAACTTTTTCTTCACAGCACTGCCATCAGAAAAGTTTGTGTGAAACAGAGCTAAACCGCATTGTTAACCAAAAAAGATCACTGGGGATCGGAATCAATCGCAAAGAACTTATTCAGAAACTTTCTGAGTCTCTCATGGTGACAAGAGAGATGTAAATTTGAGATAAAAGAACCGACTTTTTGAATAGTGTCGAGTATTAAAAGGCAAAACTCACATAGTTGTGGCTGTTCTTGTTCTGTCTACACCCGTTCCTTTCCCGCAACCAGGTTTTCCCCGATTCTCCATATTCTGCAGGAACGTTAGGGGCATGAACAAGATGAACTCAAACCCAGATGCAAGAACGACAAAATGAAAACGATATCATCAGCAAAAAAAAGCAAATTGATTCATTCCTAAAGCATATAACCTCTCGGTCCAGTTCTTCTATCTTTGCTTTTATGGTACGAGAGATTTTCCCCACTTCGTCCACATCTCTCTCCATCCTTTGCTTGATTGCTGCAGAAAGCAGCACAATCAAAGAACATATCATTCCAGATGACATGCAAGCAAAATCATGTATCCTTTGCTTGTTTGATCGCGCCAGATCCATTCATCTATATATCTCATCCTGTTTATCTTTTATATAACACATGGATCAACAAGAGTTTTCATCGCAAGCATGGAACAGATCCTGCATTCACTGGCAGTCCCTTTTCACTAACTGGGTTTGATACGTATGTATATAAACGTTTCGATCGTATAGCTCTGTTACAATCTCTGAGGCTCGATTACCTTTCATGGCAGGCGCCTTGGTGATGGCTTTCGTCTCCTCATGGGCTTCCTGCATTCAAGATTCCCAGATTCACAGTTCAACAGCTAGTATATCGTGTATAGCTTGTTACTAACGTTCTGATTTCAGGTGAAAATAAGCAAACCGAGACCTGATAAATGCATTTATACTCATACCCAAGTACACTCATCTCACTCGATGGGATTTACTTCTTCGACCCTTATCGTTTTTCTCATCGTTTCATCTTTCACACAATGGATAGATAGGGAGCAGGAGCAATACCTGAAGCCTTCTGAGGTGGGAATCCAGCTTCTCGTATTGTTTATCGATTTCTTGAACCTAAATGTGAGCAAGAACATGAAACAAGGGTATGAAGAAATGTCTGAATATTGTGAATACGCAGATTGATTTCTTCTAGACTAATACATGAACATACACACACACACACACACATGAACATAAGTTGGTATGGAGAAGGACCTTCTTGAAGAAACTGCTCAACCCAAGTTCTCCAGAGTTATGAGGGCCATGCCCCGACTCGATATCGCTTCTTGTAGATCTGTTCCTGGGGAACTCGAGCGAACCCTGAACAGACATTTTGGTTAGCTTTTGATCAAACAGATCGATTCTTCGAACAAAATCATGCAACAAAACACTGAATCATGGATTATGATCCATCGAGGTTGCATTATCAGATGCAGAATCATGTTTACCTTCTGGTTATGAATTCCCCGGGGGGGCCTAATTAGCCTCTTGAGATAAATTTGTTCATTCTTTGAATAAGATCTAAATTTCTGGTCATCGCAGGTTGTACCGAATCAAAAAGGAATTAGAAAGTTATGACTATATCCTGAAATTCCAAACTATTTCCAGCTGAAAGAAAAATTCTTCTGGATTACCTTGTGTCCCAAGCAATTAAAAACCCGTGATTCCGATTCTCTAATTTTCTAACGAATTCCATGAAAGGGGGAAAATTGGGAACAATCTGAAGAATCGCTCGCATTGTTTTAGATTCTATCACGAGATAATTCCACCTACGGTGATCTAAGAGCAGAAGAAATGGTCGGAATCTTCAGAATCTTGACGAAAGAAGAAGAAACAGAGAAATATAAACAAAAAGGGACGAACCTTGAGAAGGTCGTTCATTTTCGGAGAACTGAAGAACCTAAAATCAGGAGAAGAACTTTAAACGAATGTATAATCAACCAAATCCCAGAGCTCCGCAACAATTTTTTGTATATATGATATGATTTTTTTCGGAAGAAATAACTGAATTTCTTTGAAAAAGATTTTTTTTTTCTGGCAACAACGAGGTGGGCTTGTTCTCGTTGTATGTAGGAACCTGGTTCTGTAATTAACAAAAAACCAGATCCAAGTTTTCTGTTTTCTTTTCTGGGGAAAGAAATAGAGCCCCAGGGAGGAGACAGAGCCTGGTTTCCGTACACGACAGAGTACGGGAATCAGATTTTTTCCGGACACGTACGGTCCAGATCAACGGTCGTGATTCTTCGGAACTTCTTCCGTTTCCATATCAATAGTCTACGTATTTAAATGCGGATTTTGCATTATTTCACCACAAAACATAAAGTGTAATGCTTGGAAGAAAAAGAGAGAACATATACCATGCTCATAACTCTAATGGCAATATATCATACGTACGAATCCATGGTAAATTTCACTGAAAACCCAGTAAGTAACTGGTTTTATTACTGCTTTCATGCTTTACACCGAAATCGAAGAAACAAAAGTTGCACCTACATACATATATATATATATATATATATGCATTCTCTCATGAGTGTTCTGTTCTCACATGATGAATTACCTTCTATTTCACCATACACCCTTTCCAATTACAAACACGGTTCACTAGATTTTGTCCTGAGAGACATCTCCACTTGGATATCATCATCAAGAACATGTTTACACAATTTTCAGAACCGAGTTAGAGGTCTGAATCCATGAATCCAGCGTCTTGATTGCTCTTCCAGATGATTGTACTTCACGCGCCAATGCCACTCCTTCAGCAAGAGTCTTAACTCGGTTGCAAACCATAAGAGACGCAGCCGCGTTCAGGATCTGACCACGACAAATCCGGGAAACCAATTTGAGTATGTAATGCAAGAACCAAAATGTATGGGATATATTCCCACGAAGTTAGAATGTCTATCAATTATCTGAAATTTTTCGGGGAAGAACACTTCTAATGGAAACGTACCAACGCATCTGCTATTGCCCCCTTCCCCCCAGACAGAACCCGTCTCAGTACATCGGCATTATATTCAGGACCTCCACCACGCAAATCTTCCAGGGTGCAACGAGGAATGCCAAAGTCCACTGTCACATAAATCGAAAGGGAATAAGCTTAACCACGCTGCTCATAGGAATTTACTCTCACAGTATTGGTTTCACAGGACTAGAAAAAAGATAGGGCCAAAGAGAGAATAGAGAGATCTTACATGGGTCAAATGAGAATTGCTCAATCTTTTCGGGGGTGACATCATAAACTAGTCCCCCTCCTGTTTCCAGAGCTGAGTCACAGTTAGCACCGGAAAAACAAGGATGATATCAGAGTTTGTATAATTTTGGAAGAAAGAAATTCTTACCAAGCGGACTCATTTCATCTAGCCCATCCGAGTGAACAACCAAACATCTTTTCTTGCCAAATCGTTGCAGTGCCTTTGCCATCTTAAGAACCTATGTGCAGAACAAAGAAACTAACTTAAAAATAATTTCAATGGAAGTGAATCAATTCTGAACTAGGAGTGCAAGGTACCTACAAGATTTTCATGGAATACACCGACAACAGCATAAGAGGCACGAGCAGGATTCAACATAGGACCCAATATATTGAAAACAGTTTTTATTTTCAGCTTTTTCCGGACAGGACCGACGATCTTCATTGCTGGATGATATTTTGGACCCATCATAAAACCGATCCCCACTTCTTCAACACATCTTTTAACTCCCTGAAATCAAGAGTATAGATCAGTTTAACCAAATTACATACTTTAGTTTGACTATCCACGAAAAAACCCTTTCAGCAAAAGAAATCAACTGTCAACCAACAGATATGACAAAAAAGATTAACACACCATGCATCTACTACAAAGAACACTATTTTAGAATCTAAAGTACACACACCTCTGGGTCTAAGTCGATAACCACTCCAAGTGCCTCTAGTACATCGGCACTTCCACACGCAGAAGAACTTGAACGATTACCTTGCTGCAAAAAAAAATATCAATTACACTTACGAGATTATTACCGTTGATGTAAATTTTGCATAAAGGCTAAAAGCTTTAATCTTTTGACTGAATGCTTTAACCAATCAAGGGTATACCTTTGCTACTTTGGCACCACATGCTGCCGCAAGTATTGATGCCCCGGTGGATATGTTAACTGTGTCAGCTCCATCACCACCTGTGCCAACGATGTCAACAACATCATCTAGTCCTTCCACTTTTATGGCATGCTTGAACATTGCCCTCGCCAACCCTACAACCTATCAAGACCAAGTTTCATTACTAAATTACATGTCTACATAGAAAATGCAATGACATTGAATAATATGGAAGTTCTTTATGCAGAGTTCTCACAGGGTATATACTTACTTCTTCAAATGTCTCTCCTTTGGCTCTCAGCAAAACTAGAAATGCACTAATCAGCGCCTCGTTTGCATCATTCAGCAAAAATTCAAGAGAAGCTTCAGCCTCAGATTCCGAAAGATCCACCCGATCAATCAAGGACTCTATCAACTTCAAAAGCAAAAGCAGAGCAAACCAATTATGAGAAATAAGAACGTCATCTCAGTCTCTCCTGAGCCATGAGAAAAAGAGCATTTTAATCTTCCCAGAGGAAAATAAAATTGAAGTGCCAATATTGACCATAAACATTATGAAAGAATACTCTTTCAGAGGAATTCGCTGAAGACTTATCAGAAATTAGATTCTTTTAAGACCCACAAGGAATTTAAAGTTTCAAACTTCTCTAAAATCAAGAATAAGTAGAAGACAAAATCTGCAGAAGATACAAAAAACTGAACTGGGTTTTTCCTTTATACAAAAATCTGAATGATCAATCAACAATAAGCGACGGATTCAATCCAACTCAATGAAACCCATTGAGATACAAATTATCAAAATCTCATCAGTACACTAAACCCCGAAAACAATCACGAATTTCATCAGAGGAAGAGAAAAGAAAAACCTGATTAAACGATTTGATTGATGAACTGTCATTTCCACAAACAGTTGGCAGAGCCCTGATTGCTTTACAACTTCCGTTACCACTGCCAAAATCCAGATTGTTAACAGCTTAATTCAAGGAAAACTGGGGGAAAAAAATGAGAGAAACATCAAAAAGTCTAAAAAAACATTTGATCAGAGAATGAGTAGTACCGGTAACCGTTAAACGGGAAGAGAGATTGAGATGCGCCGGAAATTCTGAACAGAGCTCTGTGAGATGAGAGAGGAGGGCGAGAAACCGCCAAATTGATCCTGACGCCACTCATGTCGCTTCTTCCAAAACCAGAGCCGTTTCCTCCTGCATTTGACAAAGATGCAATCTTGACGCCGGAAACAATGGAGACCGCCATTGCCGCAGGAAGCCGACCGCGAGTAGGAGATAGAGAAAGGTGGACAATAGAGAGATCTATTTCAGAAAAAAAAATGTTCAATATACAAGTTTGGGAGAAAACGTAGCAAAAAGTTTAATATATTAGTTTCGAAAACCCGGATTATTTTTCCAATAAAACAGAAGTATTTCTCTAATTGGTTGTTTTATTTTTTATAATTATGAGATATTAAATTGTGAATAAAAATAAACGTGTATTAAAACGTTATTGAAAAATGTAGCAATAGGAGGAGCATCGATCATTTACAAATATTAAAAAATATATCCAAATATTCGAAACTAATATCTTAAATTGAATGAAGAACAAATATAGTAGTACAAAAAACTAGAAAAATATATATTATAGATATCATGCGAATATTATACGGATAAAATGTTTCAATTAAGGTAATAAAAAAAATTGTTTGCTATATTGAAAACTTTTCAAATCAGGAACAAGTTTATTGACTATGAATGGAATGTTGAAAAGGAATTTTACGGTTGAACCTATCAACATACTTGCCACATGTTTCTCACGTGCCTCCGAGGTAGTTAGGTCTACTGCTCAACACAGTTCACGGCCCAACTACGGCCCATTCAATTTCAAACCTAATACAGGCCCATGGACCTCTAAACTAAGCCCATATTTGTTCGTCGGTAGAAGACGATTTTTTGAGATAAAGAAGAAACAGAAGACAGAAGACAATTGTAGAAGACAACGAATCTAAGAGCATAGAAGCGACATGCTAAGAAAAAGACATCTCCTTCCGTCGCCTTCTTTTTTTTTTCTTTTTCGGTGATAAAGTCTCGCCATTTGTCGTTCCTCTTCCGA